TAGAACACTTCCCATTAAATATAGCAATCCAGAAGGCAAAATGGTTTAAATATAGAGGTTTAAGATGATATCAGAGGAATTCTGCTAGGGCTGCCTGTAGTGACAGAACCCGAGGCTGGTTCCTGTCCTGTTTTCATTTAACATTTTAATATTGAAAGAGATAAAATGACACTCGAGGACTAAGCAGAGAAAGTACTGGACACAGTTCAACATCTTACAGTGTCTGGCAAACAAGGGATGAGTTTGCTTTCAGAAGAGCCTTTAAAAGTGTCTGAGAATTCCTTCTCCTGGGTTAATGTCTGAGAATTCCTTCTCCTGGGTTGTGTTTAATTTACTTTAAGCAAGATATGTGACAAATGTCAAATGCAACCACAGATAAATCTGATATTTAAAACTTGCCATGTCTCATTGATATGAAAATCTTCAAAAGGATTCAATTTCTAGGATAGTTTCCTGAAGTCTAAGATACTATGCAAGTATAACCTCAGAGGAGACTGACTAATAAGTATAAAATCATAAAGTCAGACTAATCACTTCAGAAACGTTTAGTTCAATTCTTTGTACTTCATGTAGAGCAAAGACATTGTATGAGCATAAAAAGCTGCCACTTTGCATGGTATTTTTGTCACACCTTCAACTGCCTGAGGAATTATCAATGGACATTTCCATGTAAGGACTGGAATCATTAAAAAGTGTCTCTGTTTCTTTTGGTTGTTGATTTACAACAAAGCAGTGGAGTGTTCAGAACTGGTGCTATCTGAGGTAAGCTGTCCTTCAATCTGATATTGCTCAGACTTTTCACTTTTTGAATGTGCTGAACAATGCTTGCTACATTTATGAGTGGCTGCACTGAAGTACACCTGTGGTTTTCAATCACAATAAAGCTTTGACCTACAAGGTGTTCACAATGCATCATCGTTTTGGATAAACAATAATTAAACTGTATCTGTGTGAAATTTCAGATAGTCAAGAGATACAGCCACTCACACAATATAATATAAGCAATAGGGCTATGTCTGTTAGGACACCACCTGTTCTTAACAGAATGTTTAATTGTCTAGCCTAATCTTCTCTGTTGTTTCTCTTCTAGTATTTATTTATTCTATTCTGCATGTTATTTTCATTGTCAATCGCTGCAAAGTCAAAGAGTAGACTCATTTACAGATGATGATTACTGATGGACCAAAAAATTATCCGGGCATCTATTTTTGGCAGGAGTTTATAATATTCATAGCAAATTGAGTTTCTTCCCCTCATTACCCCATGATAGAATGAGTAGGTTGTTTCACTTATCAGTCCCAGAAATGTAAAATCAGCCAAAGGGAAGAGGTACCTTCCCTGGGGAAGTGCAGGTGCCTCTTTGTGTATGTTTGCACTGCTCTGGAGTGGGAACCTTCTCAGTAAGTAAGCAAAGTCCTTCTATACCACCATGGCAGTCATTTCTGTCCATGATGCACGAGCACAAATGAATCTACAAGGTGGAAACACTCATGGCCTGTGAGTAAATAAATGGTGGCAAAGGCACAATGGCAATATAATTCTCTTCCACAGTCTGCTGTTGCGTGGCCAGTTTGGATGAGATGTAACCAGATGCCTTCCCCCTGCATATTTTGTGTTCTAGGATTTGGTTCTCTTTGCATACCTAACATGGAGAAGTGAATTTTTTGACATATGGGCAGGCTTGGTAGATCATTACCTGAATAAAGGCAAAAAAATTGTATGTTTGTTACTGTCTGACTTTTAAAACCCATTGACAGGTGATGATTCAGTATAGACGAGGGCATGAGCTCTGAAGATTTGGCTATCCCTTGAAGTCTGTAGCAGAAATCTGTGTAGAGCAGTTGATTGAAGCTGGTGTTTTTAATGGAATTGAGGATAATCGAGTTCTATTGACTTTCTGCTATACTAAACTTTGACTCCCTTATGCCATTTTGAAAATGGAATATAACATATCAGTTATGGGAGATTGGAATGCTGGTCCTCATGCTGGGAAAAACTAGGATAAGATGGATTGCTTAAATAACCAGAAGGATATTAAACTTTCCATGTCTTTATGCAGTCCCCTGAGGTAGCAATTATTTTCCAACCTTGAAGAAGTCTGAACAAATGTCTAGGATAAAATTGCAGTTTCAAGAGGTGTGGGAAGTCACGTGCAAAACAAACACTTGGACTCAGAGTGTCAAAACATTTTGTTTCATAAGGCTGGATGTAAACTTTTACATAAGGTTTTATGAATGGGGCAATATCAAAGTAGCCTGTTTGTCTAGACTTAGTGGTTCCTTGTTAACAATAAGGATCTTTGATTTCAGAAGTACTTATTGCTTATCATGTGATGTAAGTTCATAGTGTAATATTCTCACCACCTACTTATGATGAGTAAGCTTTATAATTTGAGTATGGTCTCGTTTTTCCAAATCTGTGTCAGTCCATAATTCAGTATTCCAAGAGTTTTGATGCTGCACTGTAATGTTTTGGGCTTTGTCTCTCTTCATTTTTTTTCTTTTCCCTTTTTTAATTTTTTCTTTTTTTTTCTTTATCTTTTTCTTTTTTCATCCTGACCTTGTCAACTAACTTTTAGTGCCAGCAAAAGTATCATTATTTCTAACAAGTGCTTTTCTTAGTTGGTACAATGTAGTACTAAAATACATATTAATATATTTTCATGTCATTTATTCATATGTGGTAAAAAAATAAAAAAGGAAACAACAGGAAAAACAGATGATTTCTGAAAAAGGCAAAACACTAGTTCTGTTATTGGAGAAGAATAAGTTATGTCTTTATTTGGATTCCAGTCTGTTAGTTCCTCTCCATGAATGACCAATTATGATTCATCTTTCCAAATACCAGTTACTTCATAAATCCTGCTGGAGAGCACAGCAGTGTAGGTAAAGTGCCATCATGGAGCTCTACCAATAAAGTCACTGATGCAGTTATTATATACCTGCACATATTTTAAATCCCTTGTTGCATGTGTTGAAGGTATGCATTCCTGTACTCTCACATTTAAAATCCTTTAATTAAGGATGCTACACCTTGTCTCTTGCATATATTTAGAATTCTAAAGAGATGCTGTTTTTAAAGTATTCCAGGGATTTAATTGGACCCTTTATATCATATATTAAGCGCTAGATTTCCCTTCAGAGACCTCTAGTTTTTATGTCATGATTATTTTACTTTGTCATTATGATAACAGGTGCTGAATTCTGGGATGTCCTGTTTCTCCAAGCTAGCTCTTAATAATTTTCTTTTCACACTTGCTTTCACAAATTGTGTCTTATTACAGAAAGTGATTCCTTGGTTTGTCTTTACAATTAGAACCTGGTCACCACCCACTGAGTATTTGCTTCCTTTTTTTCAGTGTCTGAAAGGGCAACATTGGTGATAGCACGGTTCATTGACCAGTGAAATATTTTTCTGCTTATGTTCTGTTGTGAAGGTAACTTCATAACTTTGAAAATACATTTTTGGGTAAGTGACAACATGCATGGCAAAGATTGTAATGATAGTATTGAACTTCTTGGGTAATGTCAAAGAGTGAAATGCTGATATTTTGATATTCTTTCAGCATTTGTGGAAATTAGTCCAATAATTTTGCCTTGGGCCAAGTATGCAAAGCATACTTCTTAGTTTTTCATGATTATTTTTCATGATTTTCTCTCTGTTTGCATTCCAGTAATCTTTGAGCTGTTACAAGTCAATAGTAGTGATAACACTGGTCATACTGCATTCTGGTTCCTCAAGAGAGGTTAGCATTTTTCCCTCTTAAGAAAGCTATGTTAAAACAAAAATAAATAACACTTCTGGTTCCACAGGAGGCATTGTACATCATGCCATAAAGCTGTCTAGGCATGTCTACTATTCTGACAACTAAAACTTCTGACAACTTTACACTTTTGTGGGTCTGAAGATGTATGACGGAGAAAATTATTCTAACCTTTCTTTTCATGTATTGTCTGCCATAACAACTTTTACTGTGTTGTATGTTGGGGGAAAAAAACAATTTCATATTCCTGGCAGTGTCCTAAAAGAAATGGAAACATCAGTGTTCTCCACAATTTGCAGAAGATCTCCTGTTGTCTCAGGACTCAATATGCCCCACTCTGCTATTGCTACAGCACAGGAGCATATACCACAGTTCAGACACACTCACAGCATCAGGAAGCAAACTGAAACAACTGAGCAACTGAAAATGTGCTCATCATTGTGAGTTAGAAGCCCATGTTTGGGTATGCTTTTTTCAAATTCGAAAGGTTAAATACACTTTAGTATAAAAAAAAGAGGTCAGAAATAAAAAGCAGAAGGCTGCCTTATGAAATAAGAAAAGTTAGGTTGAGAAAAAGAATATTATAAGAAAGAAACCTTAATGGCACTGCAACATGATGAAAACTGGAGATAGTCAAATACTCAGTTCGTAAGCAATCCACAGTCTAGTTATATTAGGCAATACTTACAGTGAAAGGGGTTAAAGAAAATAACTGGGAAAATTAGCTTGTATTTCCCACAAAAAGTTACTGATTAAAAATTTAAATTATTTGTTATAAACAGTCTGATCAGTGCTTGTCTCAAATATGTATGGGCCTTAATCTATTGATTAACATCAAGATTCACTTTTGTTTCAGCAGGATAAGAATCTAACCTAAGAGGACCTAATGGTTTGCTAGCCCATTGTTCAAAACTCAGTATTTTAACTCTGTGAAAGGCTAAGCATTTTGTCCTAGTTTCCACATAGCAGACACAGCATATACTGCTACCTGGAGATTAAGAAGTTAAAACCCAAATGCTACCTTTATTTAGTGACAAACAGCAAAGTTACAAAAAGAACAGCTAGTGAAGATAGAAGACAACTTGTCAAATTTAATCAGATTTTGTATTGAAGCAGATCCCTCATTATTGCTGTTTCAAGTATTTGGTATTTCTGAAGGAATATACTGTGATTCTCAGCAACACAATTGTAGATGATTTTATCAGGATTCACTTAGTGGGATTTATCAGAACAGTACCTTTCTTTTAGCTTTGAGCTGCTCGTGATATTTGTTGGATGTGTCACCTGGTATTTCTCCTCCCCAGAGGGTAATTCCCACCATGGAATAAGTGACGCCCATGACAAGCAGTGGAAAGCAGTAGACCAGCACAATCACAATGATATGATACCTGCAATGAAAAAGTATTAAGGTGATAAGTGCTTTCAAAGGAGCTATATCAATGGAATGGGCTGCTAGAAGTCAAGAGTTCTACTTTTAGCACAAAGCATCTTTTATCTTGACTGGCTAGTCTTTGGTGTTTTTGCTGTCATTTTAGAAGACTTGAAGTGCACTGCAAATTTATTTACATTTAATGCAAGTGCTTTATGGGGTGTCTAATGCTGAACCTGCACTAGCATACATTAAGAATGACTCTATCAGGACTAGTGACTGCTGAGTAAGGTATAGTTGTCCATAACTAGCTGAGTTGATTTAATTGCTGCACAGCCAAGCATCATGAGGGCAAACTAGGCATTTGGAGCTCTAATCTGGACCATAAATGAAAGAGAAAAATAAGGATTTTAATGGCATATTGATACAAAGGCCCTGATATGTGTCCTGTTACCTGCCATTCTTCATATGGCACGTCTGTTGCACATGGGCAGCGCAGATCTGTACCCTACGTGCAATATAGTCATCACTGCTGATGTAAGCACTGGGAAAACAAACATAAATTCTTTTGCCTCCTGTTAGTTCCTGGTTAAATGCCAACTTCAGATAAAATCCCAGTGAATGATCAGTGAAGAATCCCCAGCTGTCACTGAGAGTGACCTTACTGCCCTAAAGAGAAATGTCTGTATATGGCTCCTAAAGTGATGAAAATTACATATGACTGGGGCCTCTTTCACCTGCCTCAAAGAGAGCAAAAGGTCAAATTTGATTCTAGATAGTTACACAGGCTTTCAGCCTTGAACACAATGTTCGTTTTAAATGTCAATGAAAACATTAAAGGAGAGATGGCTAGGTAGCCACTTATTCCTAATTCTGCCAGAGGGACAAACAGGATATTTTGAATTTAATTGACTGGTATTCTCACTTTCAGAAGCTGGAACCAATTATAAGTTATCCAGTTTTCTCTTTTGGACTGATATCTGACATAAGTAATAATGTGGAAGGAAGTGGGAAAATACAGCCCTCTCATGAAGAGATCTAGAAAAAAAACCTGACTGGGGACCTCTCATTCTTTACTATCACCTGAAAGGAAATTGTAGTGAGATGGGTGTTGGTCTCTTTTCCCTAGTAACAAAAGAGGAAATGGCCTCAAGTTATGCCAGGGGAGGTTTAGATTGGATATTAGGAAATATTTCTTCATGAAAAGGGTTATCAAGCATAAGAATGGGCTGCCCAGAGAAGCGATTGATTCACTATCCTTAGATGTATTTAAAAAATATGTAGATGTGGCACTTAGGGACATGGTCTAGTGGTAGACTTGGTAGTCTAAGGTTAATGGTTGGACTTGATGGTCTTAGAGGTTTTTTCCAACCTAAATGATTCTAAGGAGATAATAGAAACATTTTTTTTCCATTTAGGATAAAAAGGAAGCTTACTTGGAATTATGTTCCCATTTCTGACCATCTCTATCTGTATAGAAGTAGCCATCTTAAGTGGAACAATGATGCTAAATATGCAGCATGAGGTGGAGCGCACTCATAAAAGTGGGTGAGAAAAAATGCGTTCCACTTATCACTCATAATGCTCTATTTTCCTTGCTTAGAAAACTGGCTTTACACTTCTCAGTGACCAACACTTAGTTATTCTGCATGTAGAGTGTCTGAATGATACTATACAGATTATGCCAAGCCAATTGCAAGTCTAGACACCACCATGCACAAGTTTAAAAGAACAAAAGCTTACGTAAAATGCTGTTTTGGACCACCTGGCCATGCTACATAGCAAAGAGTTCTCCCAGGCATCACCTTGGTTATGGAGTATAGGCACTGGGGAAAGGCCAACAGGAAAGCCAAAATCCATATGCTCCCAATGACCACCTTGGTAGCAGTTGCAGAGAGCCTAGGTTTCAAGGGATCAATAATGGCCATGTATCTGTAAAAAAAGCAAAAACCTCTGTGTAAGAAATCTTCAGAGATTCATATATATCTAGAATGAGCCAAAACTTAGGATTAAAGTGAAGGATAAAAGCAGAGATATTTGTCTTCCTGGAGTTCTGGTTGCACTGTGGTCTTTGGGTGGTTCGGCTCCAATGAAGGCAGTGCTGGAAGGAGAAGAAGGTTCATTGAATATTATTTTGCAGCCATGGGACACCTTTTTAATCATATGTATATCAGTAGAGCAACTATTTTGCAAAGACACATATCCTAATTGTTACAGTACACATGTAGGTTCTTGGCACACTTGCCCAAGATTTTTAGGTACAGACATTAGCCACAAGACAATAACGATAATATTCGTAGGATAATGATCCTGATAAGAATTGGTGCAAGAATCTTCTGCATCCATGTTTACCTGCTATGGCACACAGATTTCATTCAAGATATTTCTACTTTTTGGAATTTTATACTTGAGAGATGGGTAATTATGGAACAGATGTTTGTTTTAGTGAAGGTAACTGTTTATAGTTAACTATAAAATATGTGATAAATCCAGCATCCATACCTGGAATTTCAAGCTTATATATTTCTTATGTTTTTTACTGCACTTAGATATTTTTTCCCCATAGGGTAATTAGTTACCCTCTCCTTTACATGCTTTCTTTTTTTTGCCATCTAAACTGGTGCTTTTGGTATTACATACTAGTTATTAAATAGTTTTATTTGAGTGCTGGGTGTCTTGTCCTGAAAGACCAGAAGTTCTCATGAAAATATACATCAGTTGGATTGTAGCCCTCTGCCACCTAGCTCCCTTCCCCTCCAAAGAGTAAGTACAACGTGGTAATGAACTGAAGTTTGTAGTCATGAGCCCTGTCTTTGAAATTGAGCTGGCTTTTGTGTGGACTGCCAGGTACATCCAAATGCTTGATGATCTTTACCTGTAGTAGGTGATAAACATAAACAAATCATCATTTTCACATGCTTGTGGGACTCTTGAGGTATCTCCTTCTAGCCTGGAATTATTCCTTCAGTTACTAGTTTTCTTCAGATTGTATATTGCCATTATTTCATGCACTATTGTCAGATTTCTACTACATTCACATTATTCTTATTCCCAGTTATATTATTCTTAATCCCAATAGATACCAGCAGTAATTTGTGCTGCCTAAGATAAAATTCAGGGAGATAAAATGTTTTATCTCCCTGTCTGCTGTCTGCCCTTTAAAGACATGGATTGTTTGTGTGAAATGACTCATATCTCTGTAGTGATGGAAATTTTAACAATTGGCTGAGTACCGTAAGTCAGAGGACAAGGATCAGATGAAAAGCAGGCTATTTATCTTTCTAGTTTGAATTTGAGTGATAAGCGAACAACCTGGCTTCTGCACAAGATTGATTACAAAAATGTAGCAGATAGTCATTCTAACAAACCAGATGGGAAGGAAGTGGAGGAACCTTGACCATTCCCTCAATAATACCTTTGTGCAGGCTGGGTTTAGCTGAACAGAATATTGACAGCCCTCTATTACAGAGCCTTTGATAACAAATCTAAGTTATTCTACCTTGCCAGTACACTAGCAATTACAATGAAGTATCTAACTTGTTCTCTAAGTGGCTTTTCTTAGAAGCAAAATTGCTTAATTAACATAGTGAGATATTGCTTTATAACTGCAATTGTTACACTCACTCAGATTTGTCATATCAATTTGGTAGCATTTTCTTAGAGAAGCCATCATTGCCACAACTAAGGGTAGTAGAAAACGTGCAATGACTCTGAGATGCAGGTTAAAAACCACCTCTGTACTTGAACTGTCTCTGGATGTAGCTTTCTGTAGCCAAGAGAAGCCCCAATAAGAACTAAGTCCTTTCTGCACTGTTAGCTGTCATTTGAAAGGAGACACAGCTACTTCTACCTATAATTTTGTTTGCTGGAAATGCCATTACAAGTACCTAAGCGTGGTAAGTTGTCTATCTCTTTAGCCTCAACCTGAAATAGCAGTAGCTAATTTTTCAGTTGACCCTTGCCTTTGATCTCTGTCCATTCAGATAGAGTGTTTCTGTCAGCAATGAGAATTTCTGCTAACACAGGCTAGAGGTTCCATTCTTAGGTGTTGCTCAAAAAATCAATAAGGTGAGGAGTCTAGATATGGGATAATGTATATGTATGATGCAGAATATTGCCCTTATGTATTACAATTACCCATGGTGTAGCTCTGTCATTAGGGCTCACTTTTTTACTCTGTTTGGTATCCTTACATGTGTTATGGATGGCAAAGTGACAGTTACAAGGAGTAGATATGCTGTCTGCATTGTGCACTGAATGGTGCTGAACATGGTGTAGAAAAAAGATGAGCGTCTGAGGAGAACAGGAATGAAAGGGAGAACAATGAGATATGAGATCTAGAGCAAAAGCAAAAGAACTGAGACTGGGGAACAGTTTGCTGAATGCAAAAATAGAAGTGAAATGAGAAAAACGAGAAAAGAGAATTGTAGAATAACAGTATATAGAAATTATGTTGAGAGAGGAGAGAATAAGAAAGGGAACTGGGGTGATGAAATGGCAAAAGACCTATGACAAAAATCAACCCTAGTGTACCAGAGATTCCAAGGTAGGTAGAACTGGTATAAAAACAAAACGGTATGACAGTGGAGCTCTGTGGTGGCGAGCCCTTCTGCCTCTGCAGCTTTATGGGAGAGAACTCCCAAAGAGTTATTCTCTCTGTGATCAGCCAACCATAAACTGTATGTAGGGGGAACAGCAGGACTTCTCTATGCTCCCATGTCATCTGTCTTAATGACTGTTCTGCTTCTCTGCTGTTCTTTGAAATGGTCTGAACTTCATCATAGAGTCATAGAATATCCCAAGCTGGAAGGGGCCAATCAGGATCATTGAGTACAACTTTTAGCCCTGTCCAGGACATCCCCAAGAGTCGCACCGTGTACCTGAGAGCATCCTCCAAATAATTCTTGAACTCAGACAGCCTTGGTGCTGTGACCACTTCCCTGGGGAGCCTGTTCCAGTGCCCAACTGCCCTCTGGGTGAAAAATCTTTCCCTGATATCCAAACTAAACCTCCCCTGACTCCACTTCATGCCATTTCCTTGAATCCTGCCACTGATCATGAGAGAGAAAAGCGCCTGCCCCTCTGCTTCCCCTTGTGAGGATGTGGAAGACGGTGATGAGGTCTCCCCTCAGTCTCCTCTTGTCCAGGCTGAACAGACCAAGTGACTACAGCTGCCCCTCATAAGGCTTCCCCTCCAGACCTTTAATCATCCTTGTGGCCATCCTATGAATGCTCTCTAATAGCTTGATGTCTTTTTTATATTGTGGTGCCCAAAATTAGGCAGTCCTTCTGAAGACAGTGACAAGGGCAGAGACCCACCGAGGTCTGCCATGTTCTGTGATATTTATACACATACCTTGGACCTCTCCACACCTCATCTCTAAAGACAGCAAAAGATGGTAGGCATTTGAGCTGAAGAAGGATTTCTAGTGGCTAAAAGCAACTGAAGGGTTGTAATACCACTGAAAAATGATTGTAGCCGCACAAACATTTCTTCAGTGGGGTGCTGTGCCAATTTGCTTTGCAGCCTTTGGACATCTACTGTTCAGCCCTTCCACTAGGCTGGAGCAGTGGGACACCCTGCTGAATAAAGGGCTCTGAACTTGCACTTGATTTAAAGATCAGACTTCTAATGCTTTCTCACTCCGATGGGAGCTGCTGGTAATGACATAGATAGCTTGTTCCACTCCATAAAGCAGGGATACTGAATGTTAAATACACATTGCCGAAAGGAATTAACTCATTACGCTAATTTATCACGCAGAAATCATTATTACCCTAACATAAACATTCATACTTGGAAGATAATTATAAGATGCAATATGCACATTTAGAGATGTAGGGATGGGAATATGTGCAGGTAGAGACAAGCCAACACTTTGAAGAATGTGGGTTGTTCAATACCATATTCTTCTTTGTATGACTCTAAAATGTTTTTAGGTAGCACTTTAGTTTCATCATTAGAATTTTTAGCATGTGATTTTGTTTGTTGTGACCATAAAATATCCCACTGTCATTACTTTTCTTCCAGCTTTGGCTTGTGTTAGTCTTTGTCCCTAACAAATTACTATTGAAGTCAGCAGGAGTCTTTCCACTGAACTTAATGAGAAATCAGTCAGGCTGCATGATATAATGACCAGTGCATCATGGTGTGCTTGCTGCACCGCTCTTCTTATCTGCTGGAGTGAGAACTAGTTCCCTTCTGAACTGCTCTGTTTATTTAGAGTCTACAATTTACTGTTTGGTACTTGTTTCTTGGGTTCATCAAATCAAGAAAATCTGTTTTCTCTAAAATGATAAAAGAGACTTTGGAATAACATTGATAAAGTCTTTAAGCCAGTGGTTATAATCACAGCATAATCATGTAACTGTTAGAGTTTGCAAGTAACAAGAGACAAATAGCTGGTACATACTATAAAAGTTTCTGAAGTTTGTGAATGATGGTCCTAACAGTAGAAAAGATAACACCCCCCCCAATTTATCTTTTTGTAGAACAACAGATACTGACTAATACAGTTACAAAAATCTTTCTTCTTTAACACATAATTTAGAAAATTGTGGCAAAAATACACAAGATGTTATTAGAACAAAATGATGTTCAAAATTGGATCCTACAAATGCCCCTTTGGAGATAGAGTTGGAAGCCTTTAATCATCCTAAGTGATTTGTTTCACCTGTTTACAGCATGTTTATAAACTCAAATGGGGGAAAATGTAATCAATTCAGTCCCAGATTGTAACAGGAAATTGGGACTTGATGAAGGAAGAGACTGAGAGAAAAATCACAATGCTTGCATGTAAGTGGCTTGTCAACAGCAGACATCAGAGTACGCTTCCTTTGTGAATGCACAGATGCTGTTATTTCCTCCAGACAGAAGCTGATTTTGAGACTTTATATTTAGAATCAACTAGAAACTTAGGGAAATTGCTATG